GATACATTTTGCCTCTAAATAGGCCTGCCAAGGCACCACCAATTGGATCTTGTTGAGGTCAGATGGATACTCTGCCAGTCTGTTGCCTGACTCCTCAGCATTGATGGCAGATGCTGAGCCACCATTTCACAGAATCCCTTAACTGGAACGTCTGCGTCTGGGATCAGGTACAGGATCACCCTCTGCAATCCTGAAAGTCACTATATGCTATCATCTTTCTATTGTTTCTTCTTATATGTATGTGTGGATGTGTGTTTTTGTGTGAAAGCTGATTTCCCATTGCTGTTATAAATAAAACTAGATTTGGAACTTGCATTGTGGAGTTCTGTTTCTCGGTACTGGTATACATAAGCTTGAACCCTGCTTTTAATTGCCCTGTTGTGCCCTCTGAACAGCTTTACTTAAGCTAATAAAATTTCCCCTATTGAATATTGAGTGTGGGTGGGACTCTGGCATTTTGGGTGACTCCTTTGACATTTGGGGAGCAGTTGTGTTACCCCAATTAGGATGTCACCCGGTGCAGCCTGCACTCCCTGGATCCTTGCAATGATGCCCCAACCAGGGGCTTGTCTACACTGTTACTATGGCCACACGTCTCCTAAAATACAATCCTAAAATATAATTTGAAAACTGTTTAAATAGAGCCATTTCTAACATTGACGGACATGCGGAACAGCACTGTGTTAGCTGCCAGCCAGAAGCTTAAAAGAGATGATAGCTTAATTCTGTTTTAAACTATTGCACAATGCAGATTGTTTACCTGTATCTGTTTTACCTTTTGTAAACTGCTGTGAATCCGGAACTGGGGAAAAGGTGGGAAATAATAATAAAATAATAATAGAAATTAAATAAATAACAACAAGTTGCCACTGTTGTTTCCAGAGAGAACAGACGTGTGAATTCTCTTTCTACAAAAACAACAGAGTCCCTGCAACATCTCAGATACTTTGGGAATGTTACAGGCTGCTGCCATACTGCAGAAATAATGCAGTTTGACACTGCTTTAACTATCCTGGCTCCATACTACGGAATCCTGGGATTTGTAGTTTGTTGTGGCACCAGAACTCTCTGACAG